TGAGGAGGGAGGGTGTTGAGTGTGGACAGGACGGAGGGAAGTATCGCCATGCTCCAGTATCTGTATATGAACTACATGGAATTTGTTCACCTTACATAAATAAAAATTATTTTAAAAGTCATTAATATTGTAATTTTTTTCTGAATAAAAACTGAGTACAAGCAATGTTAAGAGAGTTCCCTAAAGTCATGTTGCCACTATTGGACAAAACAAAAACAAACACTCAAATCAAGTCTTCTTGGTCACAATTTAGTGTTCTTTTTAAAGTAACACAGCAAATCTACCATTCGCAGGTTCTCTACACAAATGGCCACATCAACAAGGTCTTGGCCAGGCTGCTGCCAAGAACCAGAACTCCAACCCAGTCTCCCACATGGGTAACAGGGACCCAAGTACTTAGGCTGTCATGAGCTGCTTTTTCAGTTGCATTAGTAGGAAGCTGGATCAGAAATGGAGCATCCATAATTCAAACTGGCACTCTGATATGGGATGCTAGTGTCACAAGCTGTTGCTTAACTTGCTGTGCAGTAATATCAGCCCCATGAATATTATTGTAAAGACCACATTTTCCTATCATGGATAGTTATTTTTAGTCTAGATCTTGCCTATTGTGAATACTAACGTCAAGAACATGACTGTAGATATTTCTTCGCCATTCAGATCTCATTTCCTTTGGATTATACCCAGTTGTGGGATAGCTGGATAACATAGTAATTTTATTTTATTTTTTTATTTATTTATTTTTTTGACAGGCAGAGTGGACAGTGAGAGAGAGAGACAGAGAGAAAGGTCTTCCTTTGCCATTGGTAGTAATTTTATTTTTAATTTATTGAGTATCCATAATGCTTTGCCAACTTACATTCCCACTAATATGAAGGGTTTGCCCTTCTGCACATGTTAGCCAACATCTATATCTTTCATTGTTTTTGATAAATGCTATTCTAACAGCCCCAAGGTGATATATCACTGTGATCCCATTTGCATTTCTCTGATTGCTAGTGATTTTAAGCATTTTTCATGTACCTATTGACCATTTTATATTTTCTTTTGAGAAATACTTATTCAAATCTTTGCCCATTTTTTAATCATGATGTTTTCTTGCTACTGAATTGTTTGGTTCCATATACATATACCAATTCCTAATATCAGATGTATGACTTGCAAATATTTTTTCCTAATCTATGGGTTATATCTTCACTCTCTTGCTTACTTCGCTGGTTATGCAAATGTTCTTAGTTTGATGTAATCTCATTTGACTATTTTTGCCTTTATTTCCTGGCCACTTATATACAAAAAAGTAAAGCAATACTGATGTCCTATTACCAAATAATTATTTAAGGAAGTATTTGTGGGGGTGGTTATTGATACTGTTTAAGTTTTTAAATAATTTTCTTTTTCCCTTCTAATTCTGATATTAATATGTTCCATTGCTCTACAAAAATGTGAGCAATCTTTCTCATTGTATATTTGACTTCAAAGCTCATTGCCTCTTCTCAGAGTATTAATTTGTCATTCCTTTTAATATTTTCAACCTCTACTGACTAGTGTGTCTTCAAGAAATTTTTAATCAAAATTGATAGACATATTCACCATTTTTTCTGCTAACAGTAGCCTAAATTTTTTCTGATATTCCATTTCCTCTCTTATTCTTATCCCAAATGCTTTCATGTAGTGCCAACAATATTTCCTAACAGTATGTGGTCATGCAATTGAAAACCTTTATACCAGACACAGAAACAATCCAGGGATGTGATATAATTTAATGAGAGTTCAATGAGTCTTCTGTCAAGGTTGTTTCAAGAGACCACCTCTCTACTTGCTGAACTTTAAGGTAAATGGCTATAGACTTACCATACAGACCATAAAGATGAAATCAACCCAGCAATATAAAGCACACAAATGGAAGGTGATTGAGTCCTGCAGTAATCATTTAAGAGCGAAGCTAGCTCTGCTCCCAACCATTTCGGAAATGCAATCCTTAAAATTTCCCCTGCTTAAGCTAACTGGCTTCTCTGACATTTAAAAAAAAATTCTTAATTGATATAGTGTATTTCCTAATCTTGTATATTTGGAAATCATTTAAACTACAATTTTGCGATTAATAAAGCTTTGGGTCTCATCTTAATTTCTTAAAACTATGAAAATGGTATTCCATTACCAACAGTATTAAAAGACATTGGTGTACTTTCTGTATTCCTCTCAAAATAATGTTTCAACAGGGGCCAGCACTGTAGTGCCGGCATCCCTAGTGGATGACAGTTCATGTCCTGGCTGCTCCACTTCTGATCCAGCTCTCTGCTATGGCCTGGGAAAGCAGTCCTTGGGCTCCTGCACCCATGTGGGAGACCCGGAAGAATCTCTTGGCTCCTGGCTTCAGATCAGCTCAGCTCTGGCTGTTGTGGCCAATTGGAGAGTGAACCATCAGATGGAAGACCTCTCTCTCTCTGCCTCTCCTCTCTCTGTGTAACTCAGACTTTCAAATAAATAAATAAATAAATCTTCAAAAAAATAATGTTTCAACTGAAAAAATACATCAGTGTGGTAGCATAAAGAGGAAATATGAAGGCAAGAAGGACTTTTCAGCTATTCATAAAACTTCTGTTGCCGAGGGAGGAGGTGCACAATATGGGACATGCTCTAGCTGACTTGCCCCAAATGGTAGAGTTAGAAATGTGCCAGGGGATTCCAATTCAATCCCATCAAGGTGGCATGTACCAATGCCATCTCACTAGTCAAATTAATCAATTTCATTTCACAGTTGATCATACTGATAGGTCTAGGAGTCAAAGGGATCACATAAACAAGACTAGTGTCTGCTAATACTAACTGATAGAAGTGAAAAGAAGAGAACGATCCAACACAGGAAGTGGGATACACAGCAGACTCATAGAATGGCAGATGTCCTAAACAGCACTCTGACCTCAGAATCAGCCCTTAAGGCATTCAGATCTGGCTGAAGAGCCCATGAGAGTATTTCATTCATGGAAAGCCAAGACACTCGGGCAACAACAACAACAACAACAACAACAAAGGAACTAAATGAAAGATCTCTGTGAGTGAGATCCCAGTAGAAAGAACGGGCCATCAAAGAAGGAAGTATCTATCTCTGAAGGGAGGAGTGAACCTCCACTTCGACTATGACCTTGTCTAACTAAGATCAAAGTCAGCGAACTCAAAAGGCTTCCATAGCCTTGGAAACTCATGACAAGAGCCTAGGGAGATTACTGACGCCATAAACAAGAGTGTCAATTTGCTAAGTCAACAACAGGAGTCACTGTGCACTTACTCCTCATGTAGGATCTCTGTCCTTAATGTGTTGTTCAATGTGAATTAATGCTATAACTAGTACTCAAACAGTATTTTACACTTTATGTTCTGTGTGGGTGCTAACTGATGAAATCTTTACTTAATATATATTAAATTGATCTTCTGTATATAAAGATAATTGAAAATGAATCTTGATGTGAATGGAATGGGAGAGGCAGCGGGAGTTTGGAGGGTTACGGGCGGGAGGGAAGTTATGAGGGGGGAAAAGCCATTGTAATCCATAAGCTGTACTTTGGTAATTTATATTTACTAAATAAAAGTTAAAAACAAAAACAAAATACTTCTGTTCCCTTATTAGAGACAGGGTGAAGTTTACATGTCTCATACGAATTTAAGACATTAGAAAACTGTGTATGCTTGGAATCAAATAGTATAAAACATTTTGTTAGATATTCCTACATATTGATGTTGGTTTTATAAATCACAGTATAAGCCTTGTGTGATCATCCCAGGCAGCCCTACTGTCTAGAGACATATTTTGATCTAGATGGTATATAAGGTCTTACAAAATATTATACTTGAATATCTTTTTTTCATGAGAATTTTTATTAATTTAACAGAATTATTCTTCAAAGGGCAGAGTGATTCTATCTTCCAGAGATTTTTCCCAGGTAACTAGTATGATATGTTCTACATAATACTGCCCTATGGCTACAAAGAAAAGAAAAGCTTAGGATCATAAAATAGATTGATGTTTCCCATGCTAATACCCTCCAACTCCCAGGAACATATTTGTTACAGTAATTTTGCTTGTAATTTTTATCTTTGTATTGTTGATATAAATAAATTGAAATGCATTAATGATCAACTCCCTGATAGAGCCAGCAAATAGTTTGCCCATAGGCAACTCACAATTATTAACCCCAACTATGCATCAGGCCTGCTGCTAAATGTCAGAAAAACAAGTATGAGTAAGTAAATGCAGAAACACAATTTTATGGATATGTCAGTAGAAGTTATATAGGGCAGTGGGGTGGCCAAGGGTGGGTTAGATCAATTCTACTGGAGTAGAATGCAGTGGAAGATTTGAATATCCACTGTCTGATAAAGGGAACAATTGGGAAAATTCTGTCCAAGGAGGATGAGTATCTTTTGTAGGTGTTGCTGTGCTGATATAAGAATATTACTGCTCCAAAGGGGCCATCCTCACCCTTCACAGGGAAGACAGCCACACATTCTGCAACACACTAAAACAGCACATTCTTATCCTCAGAAATACATGAAACACATTTAAATACATATCCACCTAGAAGCAACACCCAATGGACTTATCAAATGTCCCTCAGTTGCTCTGTGAGTGTCATTATTCTTTAATGCATTCCTTACCTCCAAGTAGTCTCTAACCACAAATACTCCAACCATTTCCACGGAGAAGTTTTTCATGATACCCTATATAATACTCTAATTCCTTTCTATTCATTAGTGAAGGGTAATTCCTTGATAAAAGGTTTAAATGAATAGGATCCCAACAACGTGCAGATATCTTTGCTCAATAAGAAAAGGAATTCATTCTTACCTACCAATAATATATATTTGTTTGGTGATTCTCTAGCATGCAGTACCAGTAATGCAACATTTATTTCCAGGTTTTGGATTCCACTTGTGCCAAGCATGTTTGTGTGTGTGCGCGCACACACACACACATCAACCTTGTTCTCAGAAGATATCATTACCTTTGTTTTTCCTGCTTGAAAGTCTTAGGCAGTGTGGGTTTCTTGTGCAGGAATATTTTAGGATATTGCTTCATAAATGTGTTGTGAGCTGATCCAATATTGAGAAAGCTCTGACTTAAAAAAAAAAGAGAGAGAGAGAAATGAAATTGTAAGTATCATAGGATAATTAAGCTTCCAAAGGGAAGATTTTATCTCAATATATAAAAATTGATTCTACACCAAAATTTTTATGCTGAAGCTTCTTAAAACATTTCATTTCCGGGCCAGCACTGTGACATAAGGGGTAAAGCCAATGCCCAGGAAACTGGCATCCCATATGGGCCCTAGTTTGTGTTCCAGGTGCTCCACTTCTGATCAACCTCCGTGCTAATGGCCTGGAAAAAGTAGCAGAAGATATCCCAAGTGTTTGGGCCCATGCCACCCACATGGGAGACTTGGAGGAGGCTTCTGGCTCCTGGCTTCTGCCTGGCCCGCCCATGGCCATTGCAGCCCTATGGGGAGTGAATCAGCCAATTGAAGATCTCTTTCTCTCTGCTATCTCTGCATAACTCTGACTTTCAAATAAATGAATAAAATCTTTTAAAATTCATTTCTGTAATTGATTAAGGGCTGTTACATAATATACCTTATAGTTAAAATCTTTTTGAAATGATTCTCATATAGCATACATATACATTTCTAGAAAGCGTATATTGGAATTTTACAATAATTTATGAAAATCTCATGCACTATTATTTTAGGTTTGGAATAAAGATGTATTAGATGAAGGTATCAGCATTTCCAAAACTCAATCATTAGATGATTTAAATTCATTTCTATCTTTTTTTCTTGATGAATAATGAACTTGTTGAGAAGGGTCTGGATTTGTTTCTTTCTTGAAATATCCTACCCATGATGATTCCTCATGCAGTCAGGTTTTGACTCACTATACCAATAAACAAGGTCTATGGAAATGTAGCAAATTGTCATTAACTATCAGGCGGCTCCTTTTTTTCTGGAAAATCTGCCTCATTCAATCTTTGATTAACTGCCATGCAAAGTTGATCAATTTTTTTAAAATGCTAGGCCATTCGCTTTGACAGCTCTTTTCAATAATTATCAAAAATGGTCATACTTCATTGTGAACACCGACAAACATCTCAGTCAATATCTGCCTTATGGCAATAAATATAAAAATCCTCAAGAGAAGGTTTTTCTTATTTCATTTTCTATGTAAATAGTAACACATTCTGAAATATTTATAACAGCTTTTCTTCCTCTTGCCTAAACTTCCTAAGACACTATATTGATGCTTCATACAAGACAAATATTTCATATTTTAAGAATTATATTTAATGTGGATATTATTCAATATGACATTAGGCATTCTCATGCCTTTTATCACACCATATACATTACTTTGACCAAGCATCCACTCTTATTGAAATCTAATCACTGATTTCTTTGGAAACTTTCCAAAGATTTTTTTTCCTGTTTGGGACATAGTCTCTCAAATGATGTTGTACATATCTACCTGGTTTTTATTAGGTACTTGATATATTGTAAACATTGCTCTAAGATCTTTACATTGTTTTTTTCTCTCATTGCATACTTGTACAAGTTAACAACGTTGGTATACTGTATTGCTTATTCTACACTGAAACTGAAGCTGAAAAACATACTCATTCACATAACTAGTAAGTGGAGATGCCCGGGAATGGGAGAGGGCAAAACACAAAATGCATTAAGCCACAAGTGTATTCACAGCCTCACCCCAGGGGCCTAGCAAGAGGGGAGTGAGATGTGCCAATAAATTTGCCCCACCTCCAGCTTGACGAACACCCAGCCCCACCTAGTCCAACCATATGTTTGCCCCACTTCCACCTGACAGACCCCAATGCCTCCTAACCCAACTGCAACATTCAGCACTGCCCATACCCATTTTTCTAATTCTAACAATTTTCTCTAACCTGATGAGTCTCTTGCAACCCAGGAAGCTAAGGACAGTGGCGGCTCTTCCCAGGCTAATGTCTGGGCCCTGAGAACTCTGACTCCCAGTCCCTGCTCTACCTCCTTCACCCTCTCTCCTATCCTTTGGCAAATCTGGCTGATGGAAGATCCTTTTCTGTTTTCAGTCTCTACATCCAACAGTAGACATTTGATTTTCTAGTCACCAGTGCCCTCTGATAAGCCTTTCCCGTCTTTGGGATCCTTCTGTGGTGCCTGGAAGGTCTCCATTCTGCTTTCAGAGAGTCCATGTGGGACTGGCTTATGGGCTGGGACTAGGGGATGCCCTACCCTCACCTGTTTGTCTTGTCTTTCCAGAAGACTTTTCTGTTCCCTGTCCTTGACTCTGGGATGTCCTGATGCAGAACCTGGATCCCTAAGGACTAAGGCTTGCCAAGGATGGACTCTCAGGCTTCCCCAATTCCTTCCACCTCTCCACTAAATTGCCTTCTAAGCAATCTCTCTTGCCTGGGAATGAAACATGATATTGAACTCAAAACTTTATTTCCTATTATAATTCAATTTGGCTCCAATACAAGTGGGATAATGACCACTGATGGCCTGAAAATGGTACCTATGACTTCCAAATTCTCCCATGGGAAATGCGCAACTTCATTCACCAAAACAAGTTGTCAGAGGTCTCTTATGCTCAACGTTTCTCTCTCTGCTCTCGCCTTTCCCTTTGCCAAGACTCCTCTGCTTATCAGATTTCTCTTCTCAACTCAAAGCTACAGTCTGAACAACTCTCTTCTTTTCCCAGCATCCCAGCTAAGTCAACCCCTTCAATCTACCTGATGAGTCTCCTCCCTGCCCTGCCAGCTTACATGAAAATCTTGGCACTCCCTTCAGTGCTTCCTCTGCTCCAGCAGAAACACCTTCTCCTACCTTACCTTCTCCTCTGTTCACGGGGCTCATGCTTCCCTTCTCCTTCTTTGTGGACTGAAATGGAGAGGGATGGAGAGCACAGGTAGAGCCCATGTTCCCTCTTCTGTGTCTGAACTATCTCAAATTGACATCATGTGGTCTCCTTCTTGGAAAATCTTGCCTTTTACCCAAAAGAATTCCTCCAACTTACCCAATCCTTTAAGCTTCCCTGGAGTAGTATTTATATCATCCCAACTTCTACCTTAACCCTGGATGAAAAAGAACTCATTTGATATTCTGCCAAGGCTCATGCTAATAAACTTCAATGACATCATGCAGCCAATAGTCTGGTTGCAGCCTTTGCAGTCCCCCAAGAAGAGACCCTGGCCTTGGACTTACCAACATAGAGATGCTGACTTAAAGGCTAGAAACCATATGATTACTGATTCATGGCAGGAATGGACAAAGATATCCCTAAGGCCATCAATTATGAGAAGCTGAGAGAAACTACTCAGGAACCTTCCAAAAACCCAGCCCTATTTCTTTCTCACTTTTCAGAGGCTATGCTGAATTGCAACCATCATGAATCCTGAAACTCGAGATGGACAGATCTTCCTCCTGGCTGATGGAAGATCCTTTGCTGTTTTCAGTCTCTACCCCAACATTTACACTTTATTTACTGCCTCCATTTACACGTTATTTCCCAATCAGCTCCGGATAACAGAAAGAAGTTACAGAGGCTAGAGAAGGGTCCCCAAATTATCCAGAAAGAACTTTTAAACACAGCTTTTCCTGTCTAACAATAGAGAGGATATAAATTACAAAAGGACAAAATTACTGGATTAAAATATAAGATGCTTGCCACAGCCATCTATAATCAGCACAAAAAGCTATGTACCCTCCTAGAATCTGTATACTGTATATTGATCACTGGGCCAAGGCCTGCCCTAACCCCAGGCCCCCTTCTAAGCCCAGTCCTACCTGTGGTCAGAAGAGCCACTGGAAAATGGACTGTCCTCAGCAGGCATGTCCTGCGGCTAGAATATAGCCCAATAGACTGCCCGTAAGCTGCCAGCTGAGGAACTCTGACACTGACAGTGGACAACTGAAAGTGCCCAGGCTCCTCTGCCCCCACAACCTGTGAGTCCACAGATCCATTTCATCTCCTCCAAACATTCTCCTGTTCCTCACAAGCCCTACCATTCTGAAGATTACCCACCCTCCAGCTACTGCCAAAACCCTCACCCATCACAATCCTGTTGATGTTCCATCTCTCCCTTCGCCACTTCACGCTCTTCCTCAATGCACTCCTGGAAGAGCTCCCTCTATGCCTGTTCAGCTCTGCCTTTGCTACTCCTGATGTCTGTGTTTAGGATGATGGCTGAAAGACACTTTTTTCAACTTTATCTCCACCCAATTTATCTTCTTTTCCTTCTATTTTTTCTCCTCCCTAACCCTAGCCACATCCCTTCCTCTTTACATCAATAAGAGTCTTCCCTAGCATACTCTCTTTTACAGCAATTAAGCTACACCCAAACAGAATCTTGCTGGATCTGCATGATTCCTATTTCCTCTATTTTCCATGACTTTCCTGTGCGCACCATGATCTCTGCCAACATCAAAATCATCCACATATAATACAGTTCTCTGAATGGATCTGTGACCTGTCAAAACACTTTCACAAAGGGCCTTTAAGGATTATAAAACCAGTTCACCAAGTTATCTCTCATGATTAAACACATATTAGGGAAGGTAGGAAAGGTCCAGTCACTTACCTCTCCACCCACTCTCTGCATTACTCATGTAGGAAGAGGGTCCTCCAGATACAATGCAATCTCAACACCCGCCTCAGGCACACCATTGACAATTCTGACTCCACAACAACGGGTGAATCAAATCCCTTCCAAAACTCTGTCATCTATGTACTCCCTCCAGGCTAGGCTACATGAATCTGCCTGCAGTACCTACATCACCTCAGACTGTTGTCAGAGGAGGGGAACTACAACACCTCCCCTTATTCAACATATATGGAAGAAGACATATTAAGGCTAAGTGCAGGTTATTACCTATCTCAAACACCTGTCTGTTTCTTGACACTTCTGAGAATAGGCAATTTTCAGAGAATCCTTCAGTATCTGCTTACCCCATACTCTCATGTCTCCTGGCCATGCACCTAGCATTGTCATTCTCAACCTTTGAACAAGAGGGAGACGCTAATTGAGATGCCTCTTCCTAGTACTGCTTCTTTAGGGAAGACATGGCAG